TAGTTTTCTTGCTGAGTCTTTAGGGTTTTCTAAGTATACTATCATATCATCTGCACAGAGAGATAATTTTACCTCCTCTTTGGCAATTTGGATACCTTTTATTTCCTCTTTTGCCTTATTACTATTGCAAAGACTTCCAGTACAATATTTAATAGGAGAGGTGATAGTGGGCATCCTTGCCTAATTCCTATTCTTAAAGGGAATGCCTTTAATCTCTCTCCATTGAGAACAGTGTTGGCTCTCAGTTTGCTTATATACTTTTTACTATGTTAAAGAAATTATCCTCTAATCTTATTTTGTGGAATGTTTTAATCAGAAAAGGGTGTATTATTTTGTCAAAGGCCTTTTCTGCATCAATTGATAGTATCATGTGATTCTTGTTCTTTGCTTTGTTAATGTGATGAATTACATTGATTGTTCTTCTTATGTTGAACCATTCTTGTTTACTTGTTATGAATCATACTTGGTCATGGTGAATTACTTTTTTGACTTATCATTGGCTTCTATTGGCCAGTATTTTATTCAGGATTTTTGCATCTATGTTCATGAGAGATATTGGCCTATAGTTTTCTATTTTGATGGTGTCGTTTCCTGGCTTTTGTATCAAGGATATGTTTGTTTCATAGAATAAGTCTGGGAGAATTCCATCTTTTTCTATTTTCTGAAATAGTTTATGAAGAATTGGTGACAGATCTTCTCTGAATGTTTGATAAAATTCACTTCTAAAACCATCTGGTCCAGGGCTTTTTTTGTCTGGAAGTTGTTTTATTACCTTTTTAGTTTATTCTTTTGTAATGGGTCTGTTCAGATGTTCAATTTCCGTTAGTGTCAGTTTAGGTAGGGTGTGAATTTCTAAGTATTTGTCCATTTCCTCTAGGTTTTCATATTTGTTTGAGTATAATTTTTCATAATATTCCGACGTTAGCCTTTTAACTTTAGTTGGTTCTTTTGTGATGTTTCCCATTTCATCTTTTATTTGTATTATTTTTTCTTTTCCTTAGTTTCTTTTGTTAGTATTGCTAGTGATTTGTCGATTTTATTGACCTTTTCAAAGAACAAACTCCTAGTTTTGTTGATGGTTTCAAAAGTTTTCCTGTTTTTAATTTCATTTGTTTCTGCTCTAATTTTTATAATTTCAGGTTTTTTTAGAGGGTATTGGGTTTTCGTGCTATTCTTTTTCAATTTGTTGGAGATGTTGGGTTATAGGGTCAATGGTCATTTTTTCCCTGCCTTTTGATATGTTTGCTTATTGCTATAAATTGGCCTCTGTTTACGGCTTTGGCTGTTTCCCAGAGGTTTTGGCAAGTGGTGTTTTCATTGTAATTTGTTTCAAGAAACTTTTTAATTCCATTTTTTATTTCTTCTTGTACCCACTTATGTTCAAGCAAAGTGTTGTTCAGCCTCCAAATGTATGTTTTTTTCCTCCTTTATCCTCTTGTTACTAATTTTTAATTTTGTAGCATTGTGGTCTGAGAAGGTACTCTGTATTATTTCTATGTTTTTTAATGTATTTATGCTGCCTTGTGACCTAAAATGTGATCTATTCTAGAGAATGCTCCATGGACATTGAAGAAGAAGTTATAATGTGTTGGGGTTTTTTTTTTTGGTGCAATAACCTATAAATATCTGTGAAGTCTAATTGGTTTATTATGTAGTTTAATTTTTGAGCATCTTTGTTGAATTGGGGTTTTTTTTGGTAGTTCTATCTTTTTAAAAAATATCATTATTAATTTCAATGAAAATTTACAGAGACTTTGGATTTCATTCATTCATTGTTGCACTTTTCTCCCCTCCCAACCCTCCCCCCACAGTACACTCCCCTCTTGG